TACTGAAAGAGTGGTGAAACATTGGACCAGGCTGCCCAGGGAAGTGGTGGAGTCCCCATCCCTGGAGGTATTTAAAAGACGTGTAGATGAGGCACTTAGGGACATGGTTTAGTGGGTGGTGGTGTTGGGTTGATGGTTGGACTCGATGATCTTAGAGGTCTTTTCCAACCTCAATGATTCTATGATTCTATGATTTCAGCGTTACCCACCTCGAATTTGGGGTTGAATCTTGCTAACTTACTGGTTTTGGTGAAACCCCCCTGCTAGTGAACCACCCCATGCCAGCACCTCTCCTCTGGACCTCAGGCTTAGTCTGGCCACATCAACGTTGAGACTTTCTTGGCCCCCAAAAAGGAGTTTGCTCGACCCCCGAGCGGCTCCCTGGCGTTGCCCGGGTCAGCGCCAGCTGCCGCAGACCACGTCCCCGCCCGCACCTCCGCCAACAAATTCCGTGTGGACGTTTGAGTTTCAGCTGTGCCCAAGCCCTCCGACTTTCCTAACAGGGACGTGCTTGACAGTAATAACCCGGGGAAAAGCACTCGCGCTTACGCACGCCTTGGCTCTCTGCATCCTCGCCACCAGCTGTCGGACCCTGGCAGCGTCATGGGACGCACCGCGCTATGAAGGAGCAGCTATAGTCCACAGCCGTCCCCTTTGACGAGGGAAAAGTTTCGGGATGATGCCCAGGATGATGTTACCGGGGGTGTGTGTGGGGGGCTGTGTGGGGGGGGGGTCTGTCCTGCACGAAGAGCGCAGGCGTGAGGAAAGCCCAGGTTGCAGCAGAGGTTGGGACTCACGTTCGGAAGACAGAATGGGTGTGCAGCCCAAAACGGGGGGGTTGCACTGGCTTGGTTGCTTCTGCCCCGTCCTCCGTGCAGGCGGCAGAGCCTGGAAATCAGGGGCCCCGGTTGTCACAGGGGTGCAGCCGAAGCACTGGGGAACCCGGGGGCGGGAATGAGAAAGCAGCGGGTGAAAGACGACGAGTGGGCCGTGCGGGGGCTGCCGAAGGGCCGGATGGGGCTGCGAAAGCTCCGGGTAACGGGGCGAGCAGGGGCTCGGAAACGTCCCAAACTGAGAGGTTGCGGCGCGTAACGGCACCGCCGGAGGCGGGGGTCGGGGGT